GTACATTCCAGTTTGTATTTATTTAAATTGGGGCTGGCTCCCCAGATTCAAGATTTATATGGAAAAATTAATTTTACAGGTTTGTTTCTTACTTCTTTACTTGTACTCACACCACACTTTTTAAAAAGTCTCTGGGCAAACTCAGTTTGACCAAAGCTAATCAGTAATAGTGTTGAAATTTGAACCTTCAAATCTATGGTGTGTCCAGAGTTATTCGCGTTAAAGTTAAAATAATCACTTTTCTTTTCTTTTCTTGAGGCTACGCCATATAGAAAAGACATCTGTAATATAGAAAAATAAAGTGAAATTTCTAGTTTGACGTATATTTGAAGGAATTATGGTATTTTCGTACATTTCTAGTATTTCTGAAGACTATTTACATTTATTCAAGGCCTTAATCAACCTCCAAAATGGCATACTATGGGTCCATGGCCTTTAAATTCTTCTTATAGCTGTCAAATTTTAATACTGTCAAATAGTATAAAGCCCCCTTTTCTTATACATTATAGATATAAAATACATAATTTGAAAAAAACAGATTTAATTTTGAATTTTAATTCTGTGAACTGCTTAAAACAGCAGAAATTAGGCTCAAACAGGGGATAAAGGATATATTAAGACAACCTATCTGTTACTGAGAGAAATATCTGATACTTATATAATATTATATAACTATATGTTACAGAGTTATAATACATCATTATAATAGACATCCTAATCTTATATTATCATTGTGTATATATGACATATGTCAATTAAATATAACATTAGAAAGTGACATGTTTATATGTCAACTTACTTTATATTATAAGGATTGTCAAGATGTTTTCTGAACTTTCTATAGCATTTTATAACCTCACTTTTGAAAAACATTTTGTTGTAGTGGAATAGCAGGAACCACAGACATCTAATTGAATATTAGTATAGTGTATAATTATGCTATCAGTGTCCATAGTACATATATAAGTTTTGACAACCTTTTACTTACACTCAATACCAAAAATACTCTATCAAAATTACTCTGCAAAAAAAGGATTAATAATTGACACATTTATAGAGAGGCCTCAGATATAAAATTTGCCAATACAAAAGTGAACAACTAAACAAAAAATTATCTGAGAAATTTGAGCTCTGCAATCACAATGAATTACCCAGAATTCCTTATTCCTATAGTAAGAAAATCTTTTATTTGATTGGTTAAGTATTATATGACTTAGAACATGAGATACATTACAATTTGTCAGATCATGTATGACAAATGGAATCAACCACAGAAAAACTAGAGCTCGTTAAAAGAACAAAAAATACCATATAAGCTGGTATTGCCAGCAGTCCATGTCAATTTTTTTTACATTTTAATTTTCTGCGTTCCACACTTCTGGCCTAATGGAATTTTGTTTTTTTATTAACAGATGAAGAAATTAGTGCAATGAGAAAGGAACTAGACAAATATGGTATTCAGATGCCAGCGTTTGGTAAAATTGGTGGTATCCTAGCCAATGAAATGACTGTAGATGATGCAGCTTGTAAGTTTGCTTCTTGTCGAAAAGGTTTTACAAAAAATACCTACTTCCATCGCTATTCAATCTTTTATTTGGTAATGCACTATTGTACCTTTCTTGAAAACCTTCATACATGCTATGATATTCAACTAATATGGCTTGGAATGTTTCAACAGAGATTAATCAACATTTAAGATGTCTGGCAAGTTATATGCTAGGGGTCTGATAAACTGGTACAGCCTAAATCTCAAAATATTGATTTGGCAAGATATAGTCTTTTTAGCGTTGACCATCAGGATCCAAATGACGTTATTGTAGTGTACGATGTGAATTTCATCCAGTCAGTGCCAAGATGACAATAGTTTGAACCCGTTCCTTCAGTGTGAAGTTGTAAATGGAATGGCGGACCAGTTTAGAGGACCATTACTTTTACACTTTTCAACCTGGTTGTCCCCTTTCAGTGACAAAATGGCTGATAAGGGAAAAGCTTGTTTAGATTGTACAAAAGATAGGCCTTCCTTATGCATTTTAAGATATCCTTGAATAATCAAGGAAAGAAGAGAAAAAGATAACTTCTCACTCTCCTCCATTGCACATTGCATAGCATTCATTATCATTTTCCCAATGAGAAACAGAAAAGTAACACATAAGTAATTGAGTTTGTATTATTTGTTATATATTTCAGTACATGCAGCTATAATTGCTATTAATGAAGCTATAGAAAATGAGAACAGTAAAGAAACATATAACGCCCTACAGAATCCATCAGCCATGTTGGTCAACATCAATCTGGAGGCAGCTGATAATTACCAAACTCTTCTATTTCAAGCTAAACATACTAAAGCTGAAAATGCCAGAAATAAGGTATGTAAAATGTCCAACTATAATGTCCAACTACCTTGTAGATTGTGATATGGCATCAGTCAGTCACCATTGATCTAACTAGCAGATTTTAACCAATCCAACATGGCCGCTGAAATGTATAGAGAACAGTATTTGGCACAACCATGTCTCCCTGTGGTCAGATTGTAAATATTGAACTTCTGTTTTAGAGTATGGATGCTGATAGAGTTTTAGAACAAGATATTTATGATGAAATTTTAACACAGGCAGAAATTCAGGGAAATCTTAACAAAGTCAACAGTAAGTAGATTTAATGATAATAATTTTGATTTTGAAGTTGTGATAATTCAAGACATCTTTACATAATAGAGAACACAAGTTTTATGTCTTTGAAACAAAGTATGTAATAAACTTAGAAGTAGTATATCCATACAACTTGTGTTTCTAATGTTTTGCAAAGATGTGATGTGATACATCACATGAACTTGGTTTTATACCTTGATTTTTCATGTCACTAATTTGAATCTTACTGTCATTAAGATCCATCTTGCAAGCTCTTTTATTGCTCTTCCTTTTTCTTTTTAGCCAGTCGAGCGTTAGATGATTTAAATGATGCCTTATTAAAAGGTGATAGACAAACAATTTTAGGAGCTTTAAAATCATCACATCTTGGTTTGAAAAACATTAATGATGAAAATCTCGATTTTTATATTGAAAAATTACATCAACTTAGAGAAAATAAAAAGGTAAGTCTTTCAAATTTTTAAGCATCCTTAAACTCACCAAGATTAAATCCGAAATTTAAGAAATACACTAGGCTATTGGATATTAAACCTTAAATTCAATTTTAGTGATTGACCAATCAGATGGCTGGAACATTTAAATCATCGTAAGTTTTCAAGGATAAGGGCCCTATTCTTTTTTTCTGAGCTGCCATGATAGTTGGAAATTGAAATGAATTGATTTCTTAGCAAAATTACCCTCATTGCCCACTGTATATCCAATCTTTCTTACCAGATAATTGGAGTAAGATGTGTGACTTACATTAAATGCTATGCCTTTATAAGTTTGTGTCCAAGAAGGAAAATCTTCTTTTGATTTAGTAATAAGTGTAAGATG